AAAAAATCTTCAGAAGGTAATGTTTCTTTATAGATTTGGAGACTGTCCTGGAAGTCTTAGAATGCGGATCAGGCTAGCCTTGAACTCACAAGAGATCCAATTGTCTCTGCTTCCCAAGTGCTGAGTTGAAGGCTTGCGCCATCAATAATTATGTGTATTTCCTTTGATAAAAATGTACTGTGGCATTTATTTAAAATAATTGGTTAAAATTTTGTCTTATGATTACTGACTAAATTGTTTTAAGGTTTGTTTCCCATGTGGTAGTCCCACATTATTATATTTACAATCTAATATCTTATTTTCTTATTAGTTGAATGTATCGTAATTTCTTCATCCCCTTACATTTTGAAATGAAAGCAATTGATTTCCTTTATAGCATACTTATAGTTTGAATCCCAAATTTCTACACAGTAAACTGTGTTTTCATTATTAGACAAGAACCGGCTTAGTTGTCCTAGGTGTCTGCTCTCTGCCCTCACCTCTACTGTTCTATTACCATGAAACTCTGAGGGCATGTACTATATTGAGACCAACATACTACTTTCTGCCTAATGAGCTATAGACCCTGGTATAAGGAAGCAACTACTTTTTGTCATTGCTGGGCAAAATATATATATATTTTTTTGCAAGCAGAAACTCTTGAGTTTCTGATATTTTGATGAACATTAGAAGCAAAATACTAATGGGGTGTCTTAAGATCTGATTAAAGATGAGTTAAGTTGTCAGGTTCCCTACTCCATCCTTAGGTTTAAGCAAGCCCATGTTAGAAGAACAAGGGGGGCATCTGTTTAGATACAGGTCTTTCTATTAGCCCTTTGCTCTCATTGGATGAGTTCTGATCTTTTGAGACAGCTCTTTGCTAAGACCTGGAATGTATTATAAGTGAGCCTACTAATCAGAAGTTTTGGAATTTTCCTTAGTCACATCGCCTTACTGGAAGCTCATTACATATGGTTCTCTCCATTGACTGTTTAATCTTGGTGGTTTCCTTGGTTTTGTGCAGGAGAGATGATGCAGGGTAGTCCTGTGAGCTTAAATCAGATAAGAGTGACAGCCATTACTGAGTTCAAGGTGTTCAAACTATGAACTCGTAATTATGAGGCCATGGGAGGCAACGTGTCACTGTTTGTTGATGTGTATAGAAGGACAGTATCTTACTTGGGCTTACTCTTGCTGTGACAAAACACCAGGAACAAAAGTGGCCTGTCTAGGAAAGGATTGATTTGACTTCATTGTAGTCTTCACTGAAGGAAGACAGGACAGCAACTCAAGCACTGCAGGAACCTGGAAGCAATGGCCAATACAGAGGCAATTAATGGGTCCTGCTCCCTGGCTTCTTTAAAGTGGGACCCAAGACCACAATTCTAAGGATGGAACCACCCACCATCTTCCAGTGATTAAGGAAATGCCTAGTAATTAAGAAATGCCTACAGTCCCATCTCATGAAGGAATTTTCTCAATTGACTTTCCCTCCACTCTGTCTGTGTCAGGTTTGCTTAACCTACCAGGACACAAGAGAAACCACAGAGTTCCCCTTCTTTGTCTCTCTCTGTTGGGAATTGATATATGCACACTGTACTTAGTAAAGTCTGCCATCACCTCTCAAGAGTGAAATAGTCTGACTACTTCTAATGCTCAGTACCTCAAGGAATGAAGAGTGACCATTTCTTTATTCTAAATGAGGGTGGCTCCTGAGACCTTTGTTTTAGAGTTTCAGTACACCTGTGTTTGGGAAGATGTCCTTCATCCGAGCTGTGTGTTCTCCCTCAACTGTTGAGTAGATCCTTCCTTCAATTTGGACTAACACCCCAAGTTCTGAAGGTTATGAAAATTGTCAAACTGAAGATGTTTCTGGATTACTGCTTGCCAAGATGACCAATGTAACTGTTGAGCAGAATTTCTTTCTCTGTTTTTCCCTCTTGCTTTCCAGCTGCTCCGCGGCATGTTTTGTTTTCTGTTTGACATGTTAATGTGGTTTTATTGTGAGTCCTATTTTTAATTTGAAGGTGAAATGAATTCAGCTTTCACCTATTGTTAGTTGTCTTGTTTCAGCATTTCATACGTAGATTTACATATGTGGTATAATTGTGTCAACATCTACTTGTTGAATAAGAACCCAAAGGAAGCTAGGGGCTGAGACCCACACATATAACCCCAGCACTGCAGAGGCAGTGGCAGGTAGATTTCTGTAAGTTTGCAGTCAGCCTAGCTAACAAGCCTGGGCCAGGACAACCTCCAATGCAATATTGAGAGAACCTTTCTAAAATAATTGAAAATAAAGAAAATATAAAAGAAAGCAAAGGAAATTCACTATCTCTCATAGTTTTGATTAGTGCCTACCAATAATGGGTGACAGGTTTTTATTTTACTTTTGTATGCAGAGGCAATGCCTAAGTCAATATACACACAAGTAAACTAAACTTAAGATTACTGTAATGAATATATTCTAAAAATTTGTATCCTAGGCCAACCATATTCTGATGCTGCTCTACAATGGCAAGATAGATTTTATCCTGAGTCTGGTAGACTCCCTGGATCAAGACAACATGGAAATTACAATATGCCTCCCTTGCTTGACTTGGGTAAGAAAGACTATGTGTGTGTGTGTATGTGTGTGTGTGTGTTTGTATCTGTGGTCATGCTTGCTTCTGATATTACATAGTTATGATAGCATAGAGTCTGAGAATTGAACAATTGTCTAATACAGTTAGTATCCCAGATTGCTCATGAGGCCACATCTCCTTCCTAATTTTCCAGAGTTTGTATTTCTCATTGTCTTGGAGAAATATTTTGTTTAGTTTTATGTCACCTATATTGTGTTTCTGTGTATGTATCACATACATGCCTGTTGCCTGAGAACCCAGAACAGGGCATCAGACTTCTGGGACGTGGAGTAGCAGATGGTTGTAAGCTGCTGTGTGGTTGCTGGGAATTAAGCACAGTTCCTGTGTAAGAGCAAGAAGAGCTCTTAAGCATGGAACCATCTCTCCAGCATTTTCATGTTTCACACTTCTGGCATGTGCTCTAATATATGAGTTAAAGCTTAGTTTCGGTTTTATAGTAAGAGCTGAGTGAATCTCACTATAATACAAACTGTACTCTCATTGTGTATAATCAATTTACATACATGTGGTTTAGCAGAAAAGGTTATAAGGCTGGCAAATTTCAATGGATATGTAAAAACTACCTGTAAAATAATTTGGATTCTTGTTTTTAATTAGATATCTGATTTAATAATTTCATATGTAGTAGATTTTATCTGTGAGGAGCTCTTAAACTATCACTCATTACCCACTGAATCTGGGAAATATGTGCATCTAGTGTTGGTATTAATGTAAATAATATGAAGAAAGAAAAAACATCCTGAAAATAAATCTTCATTATATATTTGTTGAGTTATCTATGAGGGTGCTTTCATGCAAGTACATAGTATGTACTGAGGAAAAGGAGGGCACATAGAAAATACAGGAAGTGGATGGTGCTTCCCCAGGTGCTCACTGAGGCTGTTGCAGCAAGAGTACCTAGGAGCCAGCTGGAATGGGTCACGAGGGCATTGCAAATGAATGTGTGTTCTACTGAAATTTCCACGGCTTCAGGCTGCTTTGGGGACACTCATATGGAATATTAGTGTATTTGTGTCAAGTTGTTCCCTGTCCCAGGAAGGGGGGTGGAACATGTCAGTGTCATTTGGATCTGGAAACGGTCTGGGAATAAATAGAGAACTCATGATTTTTTCCTGGTTTAATTTTCCTGCGTAGATGAGCCAGAATGGTCAGCAGTGCCATCTACTAAGAATGATAACAAAGGTAACCATAATGTAAGTATTGAAAAGTGAATTCCACCCATGTATCTGCAACTAGTTCTTGGTATTCTTAGAAAAAGATGAGAGCTCTTCTACTAGGTGATATCAAGATATTCATAAAACATACTTCTACTTAGCATTTACACTTTCATTGTTGGCTTTTACCCATGTGTTAACTAGTAGAGATCACAGCTGGTTTTCATGGTGCATGTAATCCTAGCATTTTTGCAGGCTGAGGCAGGAGGCTTGTAACATCAAAGACAGTGTGGGCTATATAAGCAGACTTTACCTTCAAACACCAAATTGTCTGGAGAAATTGCTTACAGGATAAGACCACTGGCTGATCTCCTGGAGTTCCTGGGTTTGATTCCCAGCACCCTAGTGGTGACTCCCAAACCTTCTTATCTCCATGTTTAAGGGATCTGAATCCCTATTCTAGCTTTAGAAATCAGTGAATGTATGCGGTAATCAGACATGCATGCAGGCAAAACACCCATTCATGTGAAATAACAAATATGACAAAAACAAACAAGAGAGACAAACCTGATGTATCCCACTTAAATAAGAACAACTTTTAGTAAAACTTTAAAGCTTCTGTGCTAGCTGAACACTATTTCAGATTTTCTCCCTTGAAATGTTTTTAAAATATTAAAATATATTTTATTTTTAAAATACAGCATTGATTTTGTTCATTTTGAAGATAATGAATATCTTATCCAGTTTCCTGTTCTTTCTCTGTGTGTGTTTGATCAAAGTGGCTATGTGTTAATTATTTGGTTTTTCACTTTGAGACAGGTTACCCAGTAGCTATGGAGCCAAACCTAGAACTCAGTTTATTGATCAGGCTTGCCAGTAACTGACAAGAGATTCATCCCCCATCTCTGCCTCCTAAGCTGTGGGACTAAAGGCATGTGGCTCCACTACCTGGGGTAGTCCTATTTTACTAAAAATGACTGTTTTGTTGTGCTTGAACTTACTAGTATTTCAGGTAGAGCCAGGTAGACTAAACTACACCATGCCTAAAGTTTTCTGCTGAGTAAGTGTAAATACTTATTTTAGCACATATGTGTCTCCTTCACAATTGTGGAAACCTGAGTCTGTACGGAGGCTTTGTGGAATGTCATGGACTGCCTTCTTCTATGCTTGACACCCCCAGCAAAGTAGCTGTCCATCAAGCCTCTTTACTGACTGCTGATTGTCAATCTGTTACAGAACTCCACTGTGCCTAACACTCCTGCTGAATGCAAGACACCTGGCCCTGGCTTCGTCCCTCCACCTGTTCCCCTGGATAGAGGCCCCAGAGGTCCTCCCTTTGCATGGGATCCAAGAAGGCCACCTCCATACCCACCACCACCTCCAGGAAATATCTATGGAGGTCCTCCACATTATTTGCCTCCAGTGGCCTTTGCTGGCCCACCCTACCCACCATACCCAGGTAAGCTGTTTTAAAAGTCCATCTATGTGTCAACTTTTATCTTTGTGTTACTGTGAAAAACTCTGGCAAGAACCAACTGGAGGAGGATAGGGTTTATATGGCTCACAGGTCACAGTCTAGCAACAGAGCCAGTCAAGGCTCCACCTTGATACACCTCCCGTAATTTTAATATTAACTGTACTCTGATATGTCAGAAAATCAGGCAATTTACAAGGAGCTTTTCATTCTTTCTTTGTCAGTCTGCTTTCTTCTTTCTTTCTTTCTTTCTTCCTTTCTGGCTTTCTTTCTTGCTTTTAATCTTCCCAAGGCAGGGTTTCTCTATAGCTTTGGAGCCTGTCCTTATCTTAATCTGCAGACCAAGCTAGCATTTAACTCACAGAGACCCAACTGTCTCTGAGATTGAATGCGTGTGCCACCAATACCCAGCTAGAAACAGTTTTAAGATGAAAATTATGTGTATTTCATTTGATAGAAATGTACTGTGGCATTTGTTTAAAGTAAATTGTTCTATTTTTGTCTTATGTTTACTGACAGAAGTGATTAAGTTATTTCTCCTAAATAGTAGTTCCCAAATGGTCATATTTACATCATACTTAGTTATTTGTTGAATTTTTTGAATTTCTTTCATACCCATGCATTTTGAATTAAAAGGAATAGATAGCCTTTACAGCATATTTAGCCCTTTGGAATCCCAAGTTTCTACACAGTAAATCATGTTTTCAATATTAGAGCAGAACCAGCCTACTTATCCTAGCAGTGTGCTCTCAGCCTTCACCTCTACTGTTCTATTACCATGAAAATCTGAGAGCATCCACTATATTGAGACCAACAGACTGCTTTGTACCTGCTGAATTATGGACCCTGGATCTAATGAAAATTTATATGTTTTGTGAAAGCAGAAACTCTGAGTTTCTGATATTTTGATGAACATCAGAAGCAAAATACTAATGTGGTGTCTTGAGATCTGATTAAGGATGAGTTAAGTTGTCAGGTTCCCTACTCCATCCTTATGTTCAAGCAAGCCCATGTTAGAAGAACAAGGGTGCTATCTGTTTAGATACAGGTCTTTCTATTAGCTCTTTGCTCTCATGCGATGAGTTATGATCCTTTGAGACAGCTCTTTGCTAAGACCTAGAATGTGGTATATGTGAGCCTTCTATTCAGAAGTTTTGGAATTTCCTTAGTCACATAGTCTTACTTTGGAATCTGATTAGATCTGGTTCTCTCCAATAACTGATCCATCCTAGTGATTTCCTGGTTTTGGCCAGGAGAGATATTTCACGGTAGTCACTTGAGCATCAAGGAGATGTGAATGACAGCTGTTACTGAGTTTAAGGTGTTCATACTGTGAACCCCTGCTTCTGAGGTCATGGGAGACAACTTGGCACTGTTTGCTGATGTCTGTAGAAGGATAGTATCTTCCTTCGGGTTACTCTTGCTGTGACCAAACACCATGACCAAAAGGGGCTTGTCTAGGAAAGGATTTATTTGACTTACTCTTCCACATTGTAGTCAAAACTGAAGGAAGTCAGGACAGCAACTCAAGCCGTGCAGAAACCTTGATGCAGGGGCTAATGCAGAAGCCATGGGGGAGTCCTCATCACTGTCTTGCTTTCTTCTGGAAGCCAAGACAACATGCCCAGGAATGGCACTACCCACAATGGCCTGCCCGGATCCCCTCATCCCCATCTATCAGTGATTAAGGAAAAGCCTAGTAATTAAGAAATGCCTAGAGTCTGATCTTATGAAGGTTATTTTCTCAATTGATGTTCCCCCCTCTCTAGTGGTGTCAGGTTTGCTTCACCTACCAGGACACCAAACAAACCACACAGTTCAATTCTTTGTCTCTCTTTGTTTGCAACTGATATATGCAAACTGTACTTAGTAAAGTCTGCTTTCACCTCTCAATAGTGAAATAGTCTGACTACTTGTAATGCTCAGTTCCTTGAGGAATGAAGAGTGACCACTAATGTATTCTAAATGAGTGTGGCTCCTGAGGCGTTTGTTTTAGAGTTTCAGTACACTGTGTTTGGGAAGATATCTTTCATCTATGCTGTGAGTTCTCCCTCACCTGTTGAGTCAGATCCTTCCTTCAGTGTGGATTAACACCCCAAGTTCTGAAGGTTGTAAAAATTGCCAAACGGAAAATGTATCTGGATTACTGCTTGCCAAGGTACCCAATGTAATTGTTGACCAGAATTTCTTTCTCTGTTTTTCCTTTTGCTTTGCATCTACTCCTCAGCATTTTTTTGGTGTTTGTTTGACATGTTGATTGGTGTTTTGGGTGTACTATATTTAATTTGAAGTTGAAATGTATTTAACTGAATTCTGCTTTCACATATTGTAAGTTGTCTTGCTTCAGCATTTCATGTGTAGATTTACATATGTGCTGTAATTGTGTCAACATATGCTTGTTGAATAAGAACCCAAAGAAATCCAGGTTTGGAGACCCATGCCTATGATCCCAGGACTTCACAGACAGAGTCATGTGGGTTTCTGTAAGTTCGAAGCCAGTCTGGACAGCAGAGCTTGTGACAGGACATCTTCCAATGTAATATTTAGCAAACGTATCTCAAATAATGTTTAAAAAAAGAAAAGCAAAAAGAAAGTTAAGGAAATACACTATCTCTCAAATTTTTGATTAGTGCCTACCAATAACCCATAACAGGTTTTCATTTTAGTTATGGATGCAGAGGAAATGTCTAAGTCAATATAAGCACAAGTAAAGTAGACTTTTGATTATCCTAATGAAGGTATTCTAACAATTTGTTTTTTAGGCCAACCATATTGTGATTCTTTTCTCCAAAGTCAAGAGAGATTTTACTCTGAGTCTGGTAGACACCCTCACCCAAGACACCAAGGTAAATATGATATGCCTTCCCTGCCTGAATTGTATAAGGAATACTGTGTGTGTGTGTCTGCAACCATGCTTGCATCTGAAATTACATAGTTAGGATAGCATAGAGGGCTGGGAGTTGAACAAAATTCTAATATAATTAGTATCCCAGGTTGCTTATAAGGCCACATATCCTTCATTATTTTCCTGAGTTTGTATTTCTCATTGTTTTTTGAGAAAGATTTTGTTTTTTTAATGTCACCTGTATGGCATTTCTGTGTATGTATCACATACATGCCTGATGCCTGAGAAGACAAGAACTGGGCATCAGAGATTCAGGAAGTAGATTCGCAGATGGTTGTGAGCTGCTGTGTGGTTGCTGAGAATTAAGTACAGGTCCTGTGTAAGAGCAGCCAGTGCTCTTAAGCACAGAACCATATCTCCAAGTTGTCTCATATTTCAGGCATGTGCTCTAATATATGAGTTAAGGGTTAGTTTTGGTTCCATAGTAAGAGCTTAGTTTATCTCACTATAATACTATCTTTACTCTGTTCCACAGCTAACTTCTCATTGTTTATAATCCATTTAGGTATCGCTGTTTAGCAGTCAAGGGTATTAGGCTGGCAAATGCCAATGGATATGTAAATACTACCAGTAAAGTAATTTGGGTTCTTTTTCTCAATTAGTTTCTGATTTAATCATTTCATATGTAGTAGATTGAATCTGTCAGGAGCTCTTCAACTATCACTCACTACCCACCGAAGCTGGGAAATTTGTGCATCTAGTGTAGGTATTAATGTAAATAACATCAAGAAAGAATTAAAACTCAAAAATTAAACCTCATTGTTTATTTATTAACTTATCTATGAGGGTGCTTCCATACAAGTGTATATTATGTACTGAATGAAACGAGGGCACACGGAAAAGTCAGGAATTGGATGGTGCTACCCCATATGTTCAATGAGGCTGCTCTAGAAAGATTGCCTAGTAGTCAACTGGAATGGTCACCAGTACAATGCAAAAGAATGTCTAATCTATTGAAATTTCCACTGGCCTCAGGCTGCTTTTCGGACTCTCATGTGCAATACTAGTGTATTTGTGTCAAGTTGGTCCCTGTCCCAGCAAGGGTGGTGGAACATGTCAGTATCCTTTGGATCTGGAAATAGTCTGGGAATAAGTTGTGAACTCATGAATTTTTCCTGGTTTAATTTTCCTGTGTAGATGAGTCAGAATCGTCAGTAGTGACATCCACTAAGAATGATAACAAAAGTGACCATAGTGTAAGTATTGAAAATTGAATTCTACCCATTTATCCACAACAGTTTCTTGATTTTCCTAAAAAAAATCTAGAGCTCTTCAACTATGTGTTATCAAGATATCAATAAAATATAATTCTACTTAGGATTAACACTTTAATTGTTGGCTTTTACCCATGTGTTAAATAAGCAGGTTTTGGTGGTGCAGGTGATCCTAGCATTTTTGCAGGCTAAGCTAGGAGGATTATAACTTCAAAGCCAGTGGTGGGCTATATAAGCCAATTTAGTTTCCAAAATCCGAGTAGGCTGAAAAAATGGCTTATGGGATAAGAGCAGTGGCTGCTCTCCTGGCGGGACCAGGGTTTGAATCCCACCACCCTAGTGTTGGCTCCCAACCCTTTTTATCTCCATGTTCAAGGGATCTGAAGCCCTATTCTAGCCTGGGACGACAGTGAAAGTATATGCTATACAGACATGCATGCAGACAAAACACCCATACATGTGAAATGACAAATATGTTAAAAATAAACAAGGGAGAGAAACCTGAAATTTCCCACTTACATAAGAACAACTTTTAGAAGAAGTTTAAAGCTTCTTGCTAGCTCTAGACTATTTCTGGTTTTCTTTCTTGAAATGTTCTTAATTTTAAAATGTGTTTCTTATGGTCATTTTGAAACTATGAATATCTTATTCATTTTCCTGTTGTCTGTGTATTTGTTTGATACAAGTGGCTATAAGTTTTTTGTGTTTTCACTTTGAAACAAGTTACCAGTAGCTATGGAGCCAATTGTAGAACTCACTTTATTGACCATGCTGGCCAGTTACTGACAGAGATCCACACATCTTTGCCTCCTGAGCTATGGAATTAAAGGGCTGTGCCTCCACTACCTGATGTATATCTATTTTATTAAAAATGACTGTTTTGGTGTCCTTGAACTGTGCTTGTGTTTTAGGTAGACCCAGGTAGACCATTACTACCATGCCTAAAATTTTCTGCTGAGTAAGTAAAAATATTTAGGATAGCCCGTATGTGACTCCTACACAATTTTGGAAACCAGAGACTGTACCTATGCTTTGTGGAATGCCATGGTCTACTTTCTTCTATGCTTGACACCCCCAGCAAAGGAGCTGTCCATCAAGCCTCTTTACTGACTGCTGATTGTCAATCTGTTACAGAACTCCACTGTGCCCAACACTCCTCCTGCTGGATGCAAGACACCTGGCCCTGGCTTCATCCCTCCTCCTGTTCCCCTGGATAGAGGCCCCAGAGGTCCTCCCTTTGCATGGGATCCAAGAAGACCACATCGATACCCACCACCTCCTCCAGGAAACATCTATGGAGTACCTCCACACTACTTTCCACCAATGGACTTTGCTGGACCACCCTTTCCACCATACCCAGGTATGTTGTATATGTATCTTTCATCTGTGCTCTTTTTGTTACTGTGAAAAACTCTGGCAAGAACCAACTGGAGGAGGAAAGTGTTTATATTGGACATAGTTTACAGTCCAGCAACAAAAGAAGCCAAGGCTTCACCTTGATTCACCTCATTTAATTTTGAATTTTAACTGTATTCTGATAAGTCAGAAAAATCAGGAAATTTACAAGGAGATTTTTTCTCTATTTGTCCTTTTTTTCCTTCCTCCTTCCTTCCTTGCTTCCTTCCTTCCTGTCTGTCTTTCTGTCTGTCTGCTGCCTGACTGTCTTCCTTCATTCCTTCGTTTCTCTCTCTCTCTCTTTCTCTGTCTCTCTGTCTCTGTCTCTGTCTCTGTCTCTGTCTCTCTCTCTCTCTCTCTCTCTCTCTCTCTCTAAAAAAGTCTTCCCAAGGCAGCATTTCTCTATTGTTTTGGAGCCTGTCCTAGAAGTCTTTGACAGCAGACCAGGCTAGCTTTGAACTCACAGAAATCTACTTGTCTCTGCTTCCTAAGTGCTGAATTGAAGGCATGTGCCAGCAATGCCCAGCTAGAAGCAGTTTTAAGATGAAAATTATGTGTATTTCCTTTGATAAAAATGTTTAAATGGTTGGGTATAATTTTGTCTTATGATTACTGACTAAATTGTTTTAAAGTGTGTCTCCCAATTAGTAGTTCCCACATGATCATATTTACAATCTAAGATCATGTTCCTAATTTGTTGAATTTATTGAAATTCCTTCATACCTTACATTTTGAAATAAAAGTAATTGATTGTCTTTACAACATACTTTGCCCTTTGAAATCCCAAGTTTCTACACAGTAAATCATACATTCAATATTAGACAAGACCTGGCTTAGTTGTCCTAGGTGTCTGCTCTCTGCCCCCACATCTAAAGTTCTATTACCATGAAAATCTGAGAGCATGCACTATATTGAGACCAACAGACTGCTTTGTACCTGCTGAGCTATAGATTCTGGGTGCAATGAACTGACTACTTTTTGTCAGTGCTGGGCAAAATGTATATGTTTTGTGAAAGCAAAACTCTGAGTTTCTGATATTTTGATGAACGTTAGAAGTAAAATACTAATGAGGTGTCTTGATCTGATTAAGGATGAGTTAAATTTTCAGGTTCCCTTCTTCATCCGTAGGTTTAAGCAAGCCCATGTTGGAAGAACAAGGGGGCCATCTGTTTAGATACAGGTCTTTCTATAAGCCCTTTGCTCTCATGGGATGAGTTCTGATCCTTTGAGGTAGCTCTTTGCTGAGACCTGGAGTATAGTATAAGTGAACTTTCTGTTCAGACGTTTTTGACCTTTACTTAGCCACATCATCTAACTTAGGAAGCTAATTAGATATGATTCTCTCCATTGCGTGCTTTCCTTGGTTCTGTGCTGGAGAGATGATTCAGGGGAGTCCCGTGAGCTTAAATCAGATAAGCATGTCAGCCATTACTGAGTTCAAGGGGTTCACACAATGAATTCGTAATTATGAGGCCATGGGAGTCAACTTGTCACTGTTTGTTGATGTGTGTAGAAGGACAGTATCTTACTTGGGCTTACACTTGCTGTGACAAAACACCAGGAACAAAAGTGTCCTGTCTAGGATAGGATTTATTTGACTTACTCTGTCACAGTGGAGTCTTCACTGAAGGAAGTCAGGACAGCAACTCAAGCAGTCCAGAAACCTGGAGTCAGGGGCTAATGCAGAGGCCATGGAGGATGCTGCTCACTGGCTTGCTTTCTTCTGAAACTCAAGACCACATGCCCAAGGTTGGCATCACCCACTATGGCCTTCCTGGGTCCCCTCAACCCCATCAGTCAGTGGTTTCAGATATGCCTAGTAATTAATAAATATCTACGGTCTGATCTTATGAAGGAATTTTCTCAGTTGATTTTCTGTCCTCTCTAGCCATATCAGGTTTGCTTCACCTAACAGTACACAAGAAAAACCCCACAATTCCCCTTCCTTGTCTCTCTCTGTTGGGAATTGATACCTGCACACTATACTTAGTAAAGTCTGCCATCACCTCTCAAGAGTGAAATAGTCTGACTACTTCTAATGCTCAGTTCCTCAAAGAATGAAGAGAGACCATTCCTTCATTCTAAATGAGGGTGGCTCCTGAGGCCTTTGTTTTAGAGTTTCAGTACACCTGTGTTTGGGAAGATATCCTTCATAAAAGCTGTGTGTCCTCCCTCACCTCTTGAATCAGATCCTTCCTTCAGTGTCGACTAACCCACCAAGTTCTGAAGGTCATAAAAATTGTCAAACTGAATACGTTTCTGGATTACTACCTGCCAAGATGACAAATGTAAATATTTTGCAGAATTTCTTTCTCTGTTTTTCCTTCTTGCTTTGCAGCTGTTCCTCAGCATTTTTTGGTAGTTGTTTGACATGTTGATTTTTTTTTGGCGTACTATGTTTAATTTGAAGTTGAAATGTATTTAACTGAATTCTGCTTTCACATATTGTAAGTTGTCTTGCTTCAGCATTTCATGTGTAGATTTACATATGTGCTGTAATTGTGTCAACATATGCTTGTTGAATAAGAACCCAAAACTAGGGGATGGAGACCCATACCTGTTATCCCAGGACTCCAGAGGCAGAGGCATGTGGGTTTCTGTAAGTTCGAAGCCAGTCTGGCCAGTAGAGCTTGTGACAGGACATCTTCCAATGTAATATTTTGCAAACCTGTATCAATTAATGTTTAAAAAATAAAAAAAAAAGAAAATACAGGAAATATACTATCTCTCAAATTTTTGATTAGTGCCTACCAATAACCAGTAACAGGTTTTCATTTTAATTATGGATGCAGAGGAAATGTCTAAGTCAATATAAGCACAAGTAAAGTATACTTTTGACTATCCTAATGAAGACATTTTAACAATTTGTTTTTAGGCCAACCATATTGTGATTCTTTTCTCCAAAGTCAAGAGAGATTTTATTCTGAGTCTGGTAGACACCCTCGACCAAGACACCACGGAAATTATTATATGCCTTCATCGTCTGATATGGGTAAGGAATACTCTGTGTGTGTGTGTGTGTGTGTGTGTGTGTGTGTGTGTGTGTGTGTGTGTCTGTAATCATGCTTGCATCTGAGATTACATAGTTATGGTAGTGTAGACTACTGGGAATTGAACAAAAGGCTAACATAATTAGTATCTCAGATTGCTCATGTGGTCATATCTCCTTCCTTATTTTCCTCAAGTTTGTATTTCTCATTGTCTTTTTGAGAAAGATTTTGTTTATTTTTATGTCACCTGTATGGCATTTCTGTGTATGTATCACATACATGCCTGATGCCTGAGAAGGCAAGAAGGGCATCAGAGCTCCTGGAAGTGGAGTTACAATCTTTTTGAGCTACTGTTTGATTGCTGGGAATAAAGCACAGATCCTGTGTAAGAGCAGCCAGTGCTCTGAGCACTGAACCATCTCTCCAAGTTGTCTCATATTTCAGACAGGTGCTCTAATACATGAGTTAAGGTTTAGTTTTGGTTCCATAGTAAGAGCTGAGTGTATCTCACTATAATACCATCTTTATTCTGTTCCACAGCTAACTTCTCTGTTTATAATCCATTTACATATGTGTTGTTTTGCAGTCAAGGATAATAGGCTGGCAAACGTCAATGGATATTTAAATACTACCAGGAAAATAATTTGGTTTTTTCTCAATTAGTTATCTGTTTTAATAATTTCATATGTAGTAGATTGTATCTATCAGGAGCTCTTCAACTTTCATTCATTACCCACTGAAACTGGGAAATGTGTGCATCTAGTGTAGGTATTAATGTAAATAACATTAAGAAAGAATGAAATTCTGATAATTAAATTTTCATTGTATATTTGTTGAGTTATCTATGAGGGTTCATATACAAGTGTATAGTATGTACTGAGGGAAAGAAGGGTAAACAGAAAAGTCAGGGAGTGGATGATGCATCCCTGGGTGTTCACTGAGGCTGCTGCAGCAGGATTGCCTAGGAGCCAGCTGGAATGGTCACCAGCACAAAGCAAAAAAATGTCTGTTCTATTGAAATTTCCACTGGCCTCAGGCTGCTTTCAGGACTCTCATGTGGAATACTAGTGTATTTGTGTCAAGTTGTTCTCTGTCCTAGCAAGGGGTGTGGAATGTGTCAGTGTCATTTGGATGTGGAAATGGTGTGGGAATAAGTTGAGAACTCATGAATTTTTCCTGGTTTAATTTTCCTGTGTAGATAAGCCAGAATCTTCAGCAGTGCCATCCACTGTGAATGATATGAAAAATGACCATAGTGTAAGTATTGGAAATTGAATTCTACGCATGTATCTGCAGATAGTTTTTAGGTTTTCTTAGATAAAGGCCAGAGCTCTTCTACTATGTGATATCAATATATTAAAATATGCTTCTAGTTCGCATTAACACTTTCATTTTTGGATTTTAACCATCTGTTAAATAGTCCAGATCACAAGCAGGTTTTGATGATGCGTGTAATCCTAGTATTTTTGCAGGTTGAGGCAGGAGGATGGTACCTTCAAAGCTAGTAGTGTGTTATATAAGCTGATTTTGTCTCCAAAATCCAAGTAGGCTGAAAAAATGGTTTATGGGATAAGAGCACGGCTGCTCTCTTGGAGTGACCTGTGTTTGGTTTCTAGCACCCCAGTGGTGGCTCTCAACCGTTCTTATCTCCATGATCAAGGACTTTGTAGCCTGGGAGAACAGTGAATGTATGTTATGCAGCCATGCATGCAGGCAAAACACCAATACATGTGAAATGACAAATATGACAATAACAAGAGAGAGAAACCTGATGTCTTAGATAAGAAAAACATTTAGAACTTTAAAGCATTTTCCCTAGTTGTACATTATTTCCGGTTTTCTTCTTTGAAATCTTATTTGAATCTTAAAATGTATTTTACCTTTGAAAAATATGATTGCAAAAAAAAGAAAACTATGATTGCTTGTGTTCATTTTGAAAATATCAATATTTTACCTTTTCCTGTTCTCTCTATGTTTCCTTGGATTAACTATCTTTGTTGGGGTATATCTATTTTTTTTAAAGTGTCTGTTCTCATGTGGTTGAACTGCCCTTCTGTTTTAGTTGGAGCCAGGTAGACTATTACTATCCTGCCTAAAGATTTCTGCTGAGTTAGTAAAAATAAGGTAGCACTTAAGCAGTTCCTACACAGGTGTGGAAAACTGATTCTGTACCGAGACTTTGTGGAATGTCATGGTCTACTTTCTTCTATGCCTGAAACCCCCAGCAAAGGAGCTGTCCATCAAGCCTCTTTACTGACTGCTGATTGTCAATCTGTTACAGAACTCCACTGTGCCTAACACTCCTGCTGCTGAATGCAAGACACCTGGCCCTGGCTTCATCCCTCCTCCTGTTCCCCAGGATAGAGGCCCCAGAGGTCCTCCCTGCGCATGGGATCCAAGAAGACCACCCCGATACCCACCACCTCCTCCAGCAAACAACTATGGAGGTCCTGAACATTATTTTCCACCAATGGACTTTGATGGCCCACCCTTCCTGCCATACCCAGGTAAGGTGTTTTAAAAGTCCATATATGTGTCAGCTTTTATCTGTGCTCTTTTTGTTACTGTGAAAATCTCTGGCAAGAACCAACTGGAGTAGGAAAGGGTTTATATGGCTCACAGGTTACCGTCCAGCATCAGAGGAAGCCAAGGCTTCACCTTAATCCACCTCAGGTAATTTTGAATTTTAACTGTACTCTGATAGGTCAGAAAATCAGGCAATTTACAAGAGCTTTTCATTCTTTCTGTCTAACTGTTTTCTTCCTCCTTCCTTCCCCCCTCTCTCTCTGTCTCTCTCTCTCTTTCTTGTTTTTAATCTTTCCAAGGCAGGGTTTCTGTATAGCCTTGGAGCCTTTGGAGCCTTTCCTGGAAGTCTTAGTCTGCAGACCAGGCTAAACATGAACTCACAAAGTTCCCAATGTCTCTGCTTCCTAAGTGCTGGGATCAAAGCTGTTTGCCACCAATCCCCCCCCCCTGCCAGCAAGTAGTTTTAACATTAAAAATGTGTGTTTCAGTTGATAGAATGTATTGTGTCAACTATTTAAGGTAATTGCTTATATTTTTGTCTCAAGAAAATTAACTTAAGTTTTTTAGCTTATTTCTCATAAATAATAGTTCCCACCTAATCATATTTAAAATCCAAGATCATGTTTAGTTATTTGTTAAATTTATTGAAATTACTTCACACTGTTATATCTTAAAATAAAAGTAATTATTGCCTTTACAGCATACTTTATTCTTTAGAATCAGAAACTTCTACACTTTAAATCAAGTTTTAAAGTTCTAGATAAGAACCACCTTAGCTGTCCCAAGTATCTGCTCGCTGTTCTCACCTCTACTCTTAAACTTCTAAGGGAGTAAAATGAGTCTTGTGTGGGAAGTTTTAAGGTTGTCCTTGGCCTTCTTGGAAATGTTTTTAGTAGGATATGAGGTCAGTATCACTGATCTGAATGTTAGTTTGAATGTTTTATTTACCCCATTGAAAAGCTGTTTTACAGCGAGTCTTAAGTGTATCTAGACCTTGGGTTCCTGCCAAGAGAGCACAAACAGATCTGAAACTGATGGTTGTGTTCTTATTAATCCTATGAAATCAAAAAGTACAGTTTTCAGTCTCAAGATTTATTTGTGAGATCAAGTATTGTGGTGTGAGTGTTTGGATATCAGAATAGCTGGAGGTAGTGTTTTAACAAGTGTGCACGACATGGTTTCAACTTCCACTGTTCTTTACCCATCTCTTCCAACAGGGAGAAATATGTGTGAATCCAGAGGTTTTCCACCCTTCCTTCCTCTAAGAGCTGGGTTCTTCCCCCACCCCCACATCCAGAGAGGAGAAATGAGAGACCCCAGACTTGATTCAGCCTTCCAAACAACCTGCAACTGAACCTCCAGACTACACTGTAACCTAAGGAAATAAAGGAGACCTGATAGATTCTTCAGCATTCATTTTTTTAGATGAAGTTTATATAACTGTTGTTCTTAAGTTAGTATATTGTTGCTCAAATATTGTTGTGTAATGGAATAGCATTTTGTAAATAAAGATAATTTAACTATGAATCTTATGAGTAAATTATTTCTATTTCATTTTTTCTGGGTAGTATATTTTACTTTGATTACCTCATCTATAATTATGATAGTTTTATGCATGTAATCTTTTTAAATTTAAATTTAAATTAGAAACAAGGTTGCTTCTAATGTCAATTCCAGATTCCTCTCCCTTTTCCTCACCTCCTCCAACACTCTGACCAGCCCCTCCAATGTCCCCTCATTTCCCCAAGGAGGGTAAGGGCCACCATGGGGGGTGTCCATAGTCATTTCATCCAGGGCAGTGCCTAGACCATCCCTTGAAATCCAGGGTGAGAGTACATCTCTCAGTGTTGGATAGGTGTCCAAAGTCCATTTGTATAACCGTGATAAATTCTGATCTACTACCCAAGGCTCAATAGATTACCTAGGCCTGCTCACTGACACCCACATTCCGGAGGTCTTGATCACTCCCATGCCAGATTCCCAGCCATCAGTCTGGGATTCAAGAGCTAACCCCTGTCAGGTTAGCTGTTTCTGGGGGTAAAAGCAGCCCAGTCTTAACCCGTTTGCTCATCAGTCCTCCCTCTCTGTCACTGGATTCCTTGAGTTCAGTTCAGTATTTAGCTTTGGGAGTCTCCCTCTGCTTCCATCAGCCATTGAATGAAGGTTCTGTTTCCTAGGCTCTCTGGCCATGGGATTGTACACTGGCACTCCCCAGATCTATGTCTAAAATCCATATATGAGAGAGTACATGCCATGTTTCTCTTTTTATGACTGCGTTACCTCACTCAGGATGGTTTCTTCTAGTGCCATCCATTTGCCTGCAAATCTCAGGATTCCATTGTTTTTTTTTCTCCTGAATAGTACTCCATTATGTAAATGTACCACATTTTCTCTATCCACTCTTCAGTTGAGGGGCATTTAGGTTGCTTCCAAGTTCTGGCTATTACAAATAATGCTGTTGTGAACATAGTGGAACAGACATCCTTGTTATATGAATGGGCATCTTTGGATGTATGCCTAAGAGTGGAATTGCTGGGTCTTGTGGTAGGTTTATTCCCATTTTCCTGAGGAATCTCCATACTGATTTTCAAAGTGGCTGTACAAGTTGGCACACCTACCAGCAGTCGAGGAGTGTCCCCTTTAACCACAGCCTCTCCAGCATGAATTGTCTTTGGTGTTTTTGATTTTCCATTCTGACAGGAGTGAGATGGTATCTCAAAGTTGTTTTGAGTTGCATTTCCCAGATGGCTAAGGATGTTGAGCACTTTCTCAAGTGCCTCTCAGCCATTTTAGACTCCTCTATTGAAAATTCTCTATTTAGTTCTACAGCCCACTTTTTAATTGGATCTTTTGGTGTTTTGGAGACTTGCTTCTTGAGTTCTTTGTAAATTTTGGAGATCAGCCCTCTGTCAGATGTGGGGTTAGTGAATATCTTTTCCCATTCTGTGGGGTTCCTTTTTGTCTTGCTGACTGTGTCCTTTGCCTTACAGAAGATTCTCAGTTTCAGGAGGTCCCATTTATTAGTTGTTGAGCTCACTGGCTGTGCTACTGGTGTTATGTTTGGGAAGCTGTCTCCTGTACTAATTCGTTCAAGGGTACCACCCACTTTCCGTTCTAAGAGGTTCAGTGTGGCTGGATTTATGTTGAAGTCTTTGATCTTACTCCTGTCAGAATGGAAAATCAAAACCACCAACGACAATTTATGATGGAGAGGCTGTGGTTAAATGGGAACACTCCTCCACTGCTGGTGAGAGTGCCAACTTGTAAAGCCACTTTCAAAATCAGTATGGAGATTCCTCAGAAAAATGGGAATAAACCTACCACAAGACACAGCAACTCCAGTCTTAGGCATATATCCAAAAGATGCCCATTCATACAACAAGGATGTCTGTTCCACTATGTACACAACAGCATTATTTGTAATAGCCAGAACTTGGAAGCAACCTAAATGCCCCTCAACTGAAGAGTGGATAGAGAAAATGTGGTACATTTACACAATGGAGAGAAAAATAAAAGTGAAAAAATAGAGTAATAATAATAATAGATAAATAAATAAGCCACATAAAGATGGAAAGTACACAGAGAGTCTGGATACTGTACGCTATTGTGTTTTTCAGTTTTTTCATTGCTAAGGAAGGAACAGCTACTGAAGTACACTTGATTATAAATGCTGCTAAATTAATTCAACTTATATCTTTTGAAAATGCCTTGACTTCAAAATTTAAGTGTAAGGATATGTTACTTGGAAAAGGAGTTTTTATTTATGTTTCTACAGAAAATGAAAAGCTGAGGATTCCTTCCAGGCTTCTGTGGACTGACGAACCAAGACCCCCGGAAGCAGTGGATCAGATGTTCCAACAATTGAGACAGCTAAGATGATGCAGCTTTACAGACCCCGAAAATACGGACTTATACAGGTTTCTGAGTTTTGTCATGATCCCCATGGTATGAACAGCGCCCCCTTCCAGCAGGAAGCAGTTTGGAATAAGCGACGTCCCAATTCCCGTCTTGTTTATAAATCTTTGTTTTCATTTAAATGGGGTTGTTTATAATTGGCTAGTGATCACACCCAATCTTTTTTAATGGTAAAAAAGGGATGGGTATTGTTTTTCATTTATTGATACAAATTCAAGGTCAATTTTGTGATATGTATATTTCTCCTCTTGATTAAGTATTGTGCTTATACTGATCTTTTAAAATGTAATGCATAATTGAATACAGACTATAGATAGTTACTTTTAATAGTCAGAACTTATAGTTAGGTTAGTTAGGTTTTCTAGATATACAGAAAAATATTTGAGATAGATAAACAGTCTTCAAACCTCTCAAAGACCTTCAGAAAATGGCATTTAAAATGGTTTAGGGCTTTTCTTGACAATGAGAAATGTCTGCTCCTGGCAGCACTAATTACGTCTGAGAGGAAGATGGGCATCGAAGAAACTTGTTATGGAGTTTGCTTTCAACATGGCAAGATTAGCCATTTGGGCAAGAAACTGCTCTTGCCTAGACTGTTTGACTGTTGCTGTATAAACTGGACATGCAGGACCCACAAGAAAGTGAATGCTGAACTCAGTCTTACAGGGTTCCTGCTTCATGGAAGAGTCTACGAGACTTTCTGCAGGACACAGAAAAATGACTGACAGACTACTGATGCAGATGGACAGTTTGAAATTTCCTGCTTTGCTGAGAAGTCTTCTGGACACATTGTGGCCTATGGGCTGAAGATGGATGCCCCAACATTACAGAGGAACTTCGGGTGACTGTCCAGGCAGTAAGATATCTCTGTCAATCCTAGTGTTTACATATTATTCTTCTGTGGTCTTTGATGGAGTTGAAGACAGATAGTTATAATTATAGTTTTCCTTAGTTATGATAAAAGATAAGCTACATATAGAACTTTGGACTCACAAGGATGGGATGGATGATATTTTCTTTAAATCTTGCTAAAATATTGTAACTATGTTCTTATTTGATAACTGTTCTGTTATATACAATTTGACTGTGTTAAAGTTAAGATCTTTCTTTTTGTTTAAACAGAAAAGAGGAGATGTTGGGGAAGTCTTATGCCAATAAAGCACTGTCTGGCCAATAGGGAATCTAGATAGGAGGGTCTAGGAGTCCAGGAGGATTCTGGGAAGGAGAAACACAGAGAGTTCGAGATGTAACACCATGAGGGTAGGAAGCCCGGAACTATTCTCCGGTAAGAGAAATACTTTGATTAACAATTATGGGGTAATTACTTAAGTCAGAGCTAGCCAGTAAGAAACAAGCAAGGCCAACAACTTCATAATTAATATAGCCTCCTGTGTGTTTATTTGGGACTGATGCGGCACTAGAACCAGGCTGGCGGGAAGGCTTCTCTCAAGGAAAAAGCTTCTCTTTACAGGTCATGCCATGGGATACTAGAGAGTCCGTACAGGCACTACTGAACTGACATTGTGCAAGTAGCTTTGTTGGCCATCCCTTGGATCAGATGGTTAAGTCACCACAAGCTCACTCCGCAGAGCTATCCACTAGCCGATTGTTAAGAGAAGCTTTTTCTTTGGGAGAAGCCTTCCCGCCAGCTTGGTTCCAGAGCCGCGTCAGTCCCAAATAAACACACAGGAGGCTATATTCATTTTGAAGCTGTTGGCCTTGCTTGTCTCTTACTGGCTAGCTCTGACTTAAGTAATTACCCCATAATTGTTAATCTAAGTATTTCTCTTACCGGAGAAGTTTCCAGGCTTCCTACCCCATGGCGTTACATCTCGACTCTCTGTGTTTCTCCTTCCCAGAGTTCTCCTTGACTCCTAGTCCCACCTATCTAGATTCCTATTGTCCAGCAGTGCTTTATTGACAAATGCACAGGACTTCCCCCCAACAATGACCCATGACAATAGGTGTCTCCCCTGAATTTACCACCACCTCCTTCTTAGATAGTGAAGAAGAAGTTGCTTCAGAGCAATCTGAGTACCAGTGTGGAGCTTTCTGTGACTCTTTTTGTAGTTTCTCCTCATTTGTCACCAGTGAATTGCTTCCCCCCTATTAAATTGACAGCTAGCTATACTTTTCTCTTGTTTTGGGTGAAGGTGTATGATCATGATAGCTTTCAGTTGTATGAATAATAAAAAGAATCTAAGAAGAGAACTGAGGGGCTGAGAAAGAGCTCCATCAGTAAAGTGCTTGCTGTGCAAGCATGAAGACCGGAGTTCAGATCCCCAACACACACATACAAAGCGAGTGTGCACCTGAAACCCAGAGTTGGGGAGGCGGATGGGAAAATCCCCAGTGCCTGCTGGCCAACCAGTCTGGCTCAATCATTGAGTTCCTGGTTCAATGGGAAATTAACTATTATATAACCTAAATTCATTTGTAAATAATATTTTTCTTATCTCCCTGGTGTTAGTTACTTGAATGAGTTAT